GCAGGGAGCCCGATGCGGGACTCGATCCCGGGACTCCAGGATCATGACCTGAGCCGAAGGCAGTCGCTTAACCGACTGAGCCACCCAGGTGTCCCTCAACAGGCCTTTTTAATGACACTCTTTATGCAGCCCTGTTTAATAGAACTTTCACCAGTGATGACAGTGTTTTATATCGTTAATATCCGATGCAGTAGGTTCTCATCACAGGTAGCTATTGAACATGTGAAATGTGGCTAGTGTGGCTGAAGAACTGAAATGGAAATTTTATTTAATTTTAATTAAATTTAAATAACCATAGATAGCTAGTGGCTAGAGAAACCCCAAGCATGGGTAGCAAACATTCTGTGACTAGTCAGCCTCTAAGGCACTACCCTGTCCTCACAGTAGCAGTATAATGTGTAGACGGTCGTGGAGATACAAGCTGCACGGAATGTAGGAAGGCTACACTCGCCAGTGCTGGTCTCTTATATAGCCCAGGAGAATAATGGACAAGGGGCAACCTCCCAAAGGGCAGAACCAGGGGACATGAATGACAACAGTCAAAGGAGACGAGCTGAATCAGGGGCTGCCAGATGGGGTAACCAGAGAAATGAAGATATGTCCATGTAGGGATTGCTGTGTGCTATGGATAGTTAACCACTGTATCTTTCTGATTCTTCCTGGTTTTGGATGAGAGTTGTTGCAGTCACTCTGTTCTTTCTCCATCATTGTGTATTGAGTGTGTTGGGAACAGATAAACTTGTCTTTCAGTGTGTAGTCAGTGGTTCACAGTGAGGTACACTCAACCTTGATGGAAAGATTTGCTAGAGATCCTAGATTCAGAGCTAGATTTTGTAACTAGATGAGACTTTGGGACTATCTCCCTTAGGGAGGGAGTGAAATGTGTTATGTGTAATGTGTATACATACATACATATATATATATATACATACACACACGTGTATATACATATATACATGTTATACACACATTATACATATACATATATATACTTTACACATACATACGTTACATATAGACATGTGCATATATATGTACACAAACACACATATGGACTGTTGACTAGTTGAAAGAGCAGACTGTTCTAGAACTTGTTCAATAGCTATCCTAACTTCCTTCTCTCTTGCAATCCCCAATGGAAGGACCTGAAAGATATAAAAATTTCTAGATTTCCTTACAACTGGGAATGGCTGTGACGCAGTTCTAACAAAAGAAAATTTATGAGGGCTTCTAGAAAGTCATGATAAAAAAAGAAAGATGTATCTGGCACTACCTTTTAATGCAAAAGTGTTATCTTGAACTTTACCAGTCCTTTGTGAAGATGAGGGAAAAGCCAAGAGTATTGGGATCATTAGGCATGACATTGTTGAGCTACTGATTTAATAGTGTCGGACACCTTTCTTCAATGTGAGAGAAGTACCCACCCTCAATTAGTTTCTGCCACTAGGAGTCAGATTTTCTGTTACTTGTAGACAAAAGTATTCCTAATGGAAACCTTAGTGGAGATGTAATGTGCTGCAGAGAAAGCATACAAACATCCAGCGTTGTTCTTCAGAAATACGGAACTAGAAGAAAGAAATACATATTGATCACTGTCCAGATACTCATCTATCTGCTTTTGCCTCTAAATGTTTGAAGAATTAGGATCACTTAACATGTCTGCTTATATATTACATATAAATTACTTCAGATTGTAAACAGTAAATTAATATGAATATGTTGGTCTTAGAGATAGAATATTTTCTTAAATATGAATTTATCCTATTTCACATAGAATCAAAGAAAAGGGATTGAATTTTTTTAAAAATATAATTTGGTTGTTTCTTTGAATTTTGTGTGGAACAAATGAGGAAACTAAAGTTCTATGGTAAAGTATTTGCCCATAGGTTAAAGCATATCTTTGTTTATCTTGTAATAAACATTGACCCATTCATGTCTAGTGAGAGCATAATGAAATTATAGCTTTGGGAGCAAAGTGATGCTCATTTCACTGTCTAGAGATAATATTATCTGTTTATGTAAAGACCACTTTAACGAGGATCCTCTTTCTTTTTTTGCAACAGTGATGAATTCTTTTAGGATACCAGTATTACTAGTGGTTATTGTTATTGAGATGAAGGGTGTGGAAGGATGATGTGTGACTGGTAGTATTTCTCACATTTCAAGAAACAGGAAGGTTATCTGTTGGGTTGCAGCTGCAGCTATGATATTCAGAGCAAAGTGCTTTGTTTTCACTGAAATTTAGTGCTTTTTCTGATTTAAGCACATTATTCAGGATTCCATACCTATGTGTTTATCTAGCTGCTCGTTGTAGTTCTCCTTCGGAGTTGCAATTCGGTAAGAAAGTATGTTTATAGTGTGGTTGATTGTTCCATTTCATCTGGGCAATAGCTGTGCAGAGCTGCATTCCAGTAAATACTGTCTTAACGGTGATAAATTAGCTTATTTGCTTTTGCATTTTATTTGACAATAAAAGAACATGTATATGATATTAATAAAATTGTTCTAGAAATTGAATATAGGAGCTCTGTCCGGGCCACTTTTATAATAAAATCACAAGTTTAAATGCTACCTCTACCATTCTGCCTCTTACTGTAAGTCTGACAAAGACCAGAATTTATACATTTTCACTGAGAATACTCTACAAACCTCCAGGGTTTTTGTTAGCAAAATAGAGAAGTATTTTGAACAATATTATTTAGACAACATACCCTACCCCAGAAATGTGGAAAAATGCATTTAGAAAGCAGGGAGAGGGTGGAGGGAATGGGTGAAATAGGTGAAGGGGATTAAGAGACAAAGGCTTCCAGTCACAAATAAGTCACAGAGATGAAAAGTACAGCGTAGGGGAAATTATCAATAATATTGTAATAACCTTGTATGGTGACAGATGGTGACTACACTCATTGTGGTGAGCACTGAATAATGTATAGAATTGTCAAATCAATATGTTGTATACCTGAAACTAATAGAACATTGTATGCTAATTATACTTCAATTAAAAAAAAAGACGGGAAGCGTTTTGAGTAGGAGAAATTGAAAGACAGGGAAATTTTAGAGCTGGGAAAACATTGTGCCTATTTAAAAGACAGGAGGGGCGCCTGGGTGGCTCAGTTGGTTAAGCGGCTGCCTTCGGCTCAGGTCATGATCCTGGAGTCCCGGGATCGAGTCCCGCATCGGGCTCCCTGCTGGGCGGGGAGTCTGCTTCTCCCTCTGACCCTCCCGACCCTCCCCCCTCTCATGTGCTCTCTCTCTCATTCTCTCTGTCAAATAAATAAATAAAATCTTTAAAAAAAATAAAAAAATAAAAGACAGGAATAAAAATCACATCAGTAAAAAAAAAGATAGGGACTGCTGAATATTTACTTGGATATATTATATATTCTAAATTCAGTGAAAAATTTATAATAATAAAAATCATTCACCTGATCAGTTGCATAGTTTTTGTAAATGGGCAAGTGAACTTTGGAAATCTCATTTAGATCTCTTATA